GTCAACAGCAAATCCAACAGCAACAACACCATATTCAAGCAAGAGGCTGGCAGAATGCTGGTCCTTACTTTGGAAAGTTGATGGTTGGCTCCCTAGCCGGATTGATGCTTCTGGAGGCCGTTCGGGAGAACGAGCAAAACAACGAGACGCCAGAGGGCCGTGGTCTCTTCGCCGTGCCCATACACCTCCTCAGTTTACTTACATCCTCGTTGAACATTAACTTTATGGGTTATCATTTCCAAGGTGCGCAGGTATTATATTCTATCAGGGTTGCACTGCTGCTCTGTAGCATTTGGTGGGCTGTCTTTCCCTCGCTCATGGAACGTAGGCCACCAAATGTGCAGGGTTCCAAACAACAGAAACAGGCTTCCCTGAAAGCAGTACCATCTCTAGCATCTCCTATCCACGTGCGTCGTCAAGCATGGCTTACAGCTATCCAGACAGTTTGGGTCCCACGACACAATTTCTTCCTCGAGGCTGCCGCGCTTGGTCTCAAAACAATGAAGCTGAGCCTGAGGAATCTCATCGGAATCCATGGTTATCAGATGCTGACAGGTCTTACGGAGGACGAAGAGCTTGCCCGTGTCAAGGCATGGGCAATCGCCCTAGACGCTCAACTAGCCGGAGGAGATGTCGAGATCAGCAAGAGCCGACTGACTCTAACCTTACTCGCTTCGGGAACTCTCCCCACCACACCACTTCGATTGATGCTTAAGGCGCTCCATATTCGGGTTCTGTTGTGGGAGGTTGGCCTCTCCGGTATCCAGCTTGGCATATTCAACACATTTGCGTCTAAATTGGCTCGAGCAAAATGGAATGAGGCAAAACAACTACATAGACTCCTCACGCAGCTTCGCCGTGGCGGCCAGGAACAATCTGATGACGAGTTGCCTGATCACCTAGCTGCCTTGCTTGAGCAAGATTGTGATATGGTCCTGAATCCAAATATCGTTCAAAGGGCACATAATCTCGCCTGGAACCGCCCAACCGACTACAACGCCATTGGAATCGTTGATGGTATGGATACTGTAGTAGATGACTTGGCAGTCCGCTCGCCAATGGACGCTGTTGCAGCCTGGTGGTCAAACATGACGCTACAAGGTGGACTTACGAATAGTCTTCTGGCGCAAGAGGATGATGCAGATACAGTCCAACAAGTCGAGGATGATGTGTCACTGGCCATTAGAACCGCCCCGATTGGATCCATCGCCCAAAATCGTGCTTTAGTTGCACGTGCGCTACTCTTTGAGGAGAAACGAAACATCAACATTATGGCTGCATTGCAAGCTATTGGACCTGTAACCCCAGTTCTCTCATCGAACAGTCCCTTGGGCAGCCCTACCCGTACTGCGCCATCATCTCCCACCCCCATTAAGATGCTCCCGCCCTCGCTAGTCATGACCACTGAGATGCGCACTGCTCTCCTATGTGCCATGGCCATTGCCCATCTTCAAAAATTCTCCCCCCCTGAAGAGCCTGTGGATATTTATGGTGTAATCGATCAAATCCACCCCATCAGTGAAATGGGATTGCTCGGTTATACCGCTACTTTCAAATTAATGGACCGACTTGCTAACCATGAATTCGCTGCAGAGGCTTGCGCTGATACGCTAGAGCGTCTCGCGGGCACACTGCGGATATGGACCGGGAAAGACTGCGGACTCGAGCCAGAAGTTCGGCACCAGATGATTGAACGATGTTTGACCGTCACCCGTGGTGTTGTTGGAATGGGCATCGACACCGACACCGGCTATGGCAGCAGTGAGTATTTATCCCCCTTGGTTACTATTCAGTCAGTCATGGTTTGGACTACGCAAAGCGTCTCCGATCTATGCCCAGTCGGCCAGATGCTAAGCAGCGTCCAGCTTGTACGTTTACCTGGATCTAAAACAACTAACTCAGATTGCAGTGAGCGAAAGCGAGGACGACCATAACGTATCAGCCGACTTCTCAACCGACACAAATGTCGTAGCCAAGCAAAAGCCCGCTGCTATCGACTTAGGCGTTGCCTAGAGTCAACCCATTTCATTTTCTATTCTAGCGATAGTCCCGAGAAAGCTTATCCCTATGAAAGTCTATCTATCTTGGTTCGAGCAGCGGAAGTCACGCATTGATGATGTTGATGATTATTGACCAGATGTGGCCATTGTCACTTATATACTATACTAACATCACTACTTCATTATATATATCATTGGGTTGTTTTGTCATCATGTGCGGGATCGGTGCAATTCATGAGGGACACGGTTCGGCCTCAAAAGCTTAGGGGCGTTCTGGGAAAAGCGGCAATATGCTTACGGCCTTTAATGGTAGAATGGACAGACTAGGGACAAATATCGGCGCTCTTTGGAGATGGCAGTAGAGAAAGGACAGGAAGGGCTTAACAGCTTTTACTTATGCGTCTAAGACGCCTTTTGAAAGCGCAACAAATACCAAATGGTATATAATTCATGTGAGAGCTGTCAACTGTATTATGTGTGTATATTTTTGTTGCTAGCAATTCTAGTATTCTCAGGCTCCGTCTGCAGCTTAAGCTAGAATGCTTTCGATGCTCACTTAGCATATGTCAAGACAAATACTACACTATAAGAGGCCATATACCTATGTAGTTAGCTCATTACAGGGTGCTATTTCAAGTGTTGACATTCCAAACTCGGACTGAACTTGCCTACTCAGGCAGTGAGTGAGAATCTTGATTTTATTGTAGCATATCCCACGTAGATTCGACAAATCTTTCCAGAAGCATGTAAAAGCCGCCAATTCTTCTGACTATAACAGCACTATTTCAACAATCCTACCCAAACATATTCCCAGTGCTAGCTACCGATTTCTCAACAGCCTTCTAGCGATATGTTTCATCCCTTTTCGTCTCCGGACTGCGGTACATCCTGTAGGTATGCATGTACAGGGCCAAAACTATGTTGCCCTGGCCCCTAGGTAGCTATCCACATGCAGAGGCCAGGGTCCGCGGCCAAAACTGTCCGGGAAACGTTCTTAATTTATGTATATATGTATGCGTGGGGGACACGAGGTTTCCCGTGGTCTTACTCAGCACCTTCTGTATTGACATGGAACATGGATGAGGGGGTTGAATCATGGACGGGATAGGTTCGAGGAAAAAGCAGATCTATGTTATCTAATCCTGAACTTCACGCGTAAGCCGAACCCAAGGAGCTGGCCCGCCCAATTCTAAAGCTGACGAAGCCGGTTCCAGGTGAAAGTGCCGCAAGGGTTGGGTACTCACCCCCTAGTGACAGCCTCTTCTCTTTTTCCCTTTTTCCCTTTTCCTTTTTAACCCCTTTTTTCTTTTACCTAAGTGATTGTGTCAATTCTGGTTGAATAGACGCAATCTCAGTCCCAATTCTATAAATATCGACGAAGCACAGTCGTGTAAGTGAGTAGGCGGTATGTACCGTACGTACATTCTATGTGCACTCTCTACTCATAGTATGCATAACAGGAAGAAGCATGCCGAAGGTTCGAGACCTTGCATTCGCCATCTACTTACGGGAATATACGTACACATTCTCCAGCCGCGGTAGGAAACGACTGGGAGGGCTAGATGTATATGCCTCGAATAGTGCTCTATGTATTGGTGGTTTGCTCGTAGACCGACGAGCTCGTTAATGCGACTTGCTCGATCGGCTACCTCCATGTCGACAGAACCTTCTGACCCCAGCAGAACGACCCACAGCTCAGTTGTCACTTTCCATGTGAACTTAACACGGTAAGAACCTTAGCTATGTACCCTTGTTGCAGGTAGGTATGCATGTAGACGTGCATGTGTAGCAACCCGTATGAACTAGGCTTTGCTCAAAGTGAGCAAGCTTCCGTTCCTGGTCAGCCCAACAGTCTGCACCTAACGTTGGGTATCTGACAGAGACGGTGCCGCCCCAGCCAGTTGGCATGGCATTCCCACCTGGACCCGTAGACTACCTATACTAGATGTTAGTAGATGCCTAGCTGCGGCGTGATAATAAGGTAGATAGAATAGATACGGCGGGGATAGGGATAGATCAACGGAAAAGCTACCAGAGACACACTATCAGCAGGAAGTAAGAGGTTGACACGAGAATACCAACCCTCGTAAGGGTCATATGACAGTTCTCCAGACGCAACAAGAGTTCCCCAAGTCGCCGGTTCCTAACATGCCGTGTCACAGCAGCAATGCTAAAGAATTATATGTCAACGACCGGGGTGTCGAGTTTATACGGCCGTCGCCACTCCCAGCGAACCCTGCCAACGGGCGCGCACATTATCTTCATACGGACACCTGCAGGATCTAGACTGAGAAGGGCTCCCCTACCGAAAGCAATGGGGTTCAAGCGTAGGGCTCAGGTCATCCCGACTTTCTCCTGGGATCTGCGGACTATTTGGGGTCATAGAAATCGAAGGCGTCATTTTATCAATTCTGTAGCTAGCTTATGAGGCGAACACGTCAGAAACCCGACGAATCAGCGGTATCGAAAAGGTCCGCGAGACCGGCAACAAAGTATGCAAATACATCCGTAAGGCGGTAAACCCCACGCTATCTTAACTACCGAAAAGGCAGGGAGTTCCGCAGCTATAGCTATTCAAGTATATGCCGTTAATATGCGTATCCACGGGACGGAACCCGACGCCGTTCTTCCAGTGAGCGCACGATGGAGTTCGGCTTACTAGGGTTTAAAACGCACAATGAACAATAGCATAAACATCAGTTAGTCACACTCACTCGTAGTTTTAGATTGGTGGGCTTTTTTTCCCCACTGCTCATTCATGACGAAGTATGGTCTGAGGAAAGGGTCTTCTAGACTGGACAAAGATTCCAAGGCAAACGAGGATCTGACTTATTGTGCGCCTGGATCTAGCTTGGACTAACACCTTAACCATCCTATAGGACTCGAAAAAGTGATATCCACTGGGGTCCCATAGATGTACCTAACCATTAGGATTTGTTTCATATTAATAATGCTCAAGGAATAGTTCCATGCCAACACAGACCGACCCATGATAGTTCTCGGGTAGGTTAGCATGTATCGTTATTTTATCTCGAGATCTACCTAGACCTTCTGAGGTGAGCAGTACACTAAATCAGCCTCTCAGTTGGCTTCGCTCTTCGCTCTCGCAGTAATTTAAACTCTAAAGTAGAGGGTCGTGCCTCAATCCTCCTCCGGGTTTGCCTCGGCTCTAATAGTTGCGATATAGTTGAGATCAAGCCTAAAGGGACCCTCCTGTTCGCCAAAAAAGCTGCCGGAAAAAAACTTTTAGCGACGTAAGACAAGAAAAAAAAGTGTATATACACGGGACGAACCTTCGCATCATGATACTTATCCGTTTGATATGATCCAAGCGCAAAGGGGCAGCATCTGGTTTCGGCTGTCCTCGATACGTGGGCTTGAAGTCGTCCCAGGAGGCCGTCACTTCTGTCCCATCACCGGGCACGAAGTCGTACTCCCAGCTGACGGTGCTTTCCTCCCTGCCATCCTCGCGACGAGATGGGATATCGTCCTTAAGAACAAGCGTATACTTCTTCCCGTCGCTCTTGGCTACGCCGACGCTCAGCCCCTGGTAGTCGAGAAGGTCCCAAGACTGGGGGTCGACGGTCCGCTGCGAGGCAAAACCGGCGCCTCCCAGGGCGGTGATATCTAATTCCCCACTGAATGTGGCCACGGTCGAGTCAGCAGAGCATACAAAGAGGCTATGGCTCTTGCCACCGCGGACCTGGTCGTCGGATGGACACCAGGCGTGCTCGTTCCATAGCCTTTAGCGAGTGTCAGTATGATGTGAGAAGGGGTAAAGGATATACGGTATTCATAGCTTCTAAGGGCCCTAACTTACTTGTACCCTCCAAAGAGGTAAAATTTAGGTTGGCCCATAGCTACCAAACTTTTCTCTATCCTTCCCTTTTCTTGGTGTTGATATATACCGTAAGTATGGGTATATAAAGATATATATATATATACAAGCCCCGAGCGATCCTCCCTTACTTAACCCGGCGGCCAAAGATTAGTTTGCTATCAACGTTGCTAGACCGAACCCAGAGCTTTCAACGGTCAAGTCGCAACGGCAGCAGTCTTGGAATGGACACGTGAAGTCAAACGGCCATTGCACTGAGGCTCGGGAACGAGGTCAGTGCACACACATAGTCTTGAGCTTGAGGGGACTCGTCTCATAACCTAATCTGGATCTGGGTAGTGGTTATATCAATGCGGCAAGGTTGGCACTTCATGTAGCGTATACAGCGTATCTGGTATCATTTCTTTTTTTCCCTTGGTTTTCTTCGGTGGTGGAGAAGCCGTTTGCGGTGTATTTGCATGCCAAAGCTGGAATGAGTGCGGATGTGAACAAAAATATAATATAAAAAGATACTAATTCATGTAATTTAAAAGATACGTAAATAAAAACATGCTAATATAAACTCTATACAGGTAACCTAAGGAGTAACTAACCAGTACTTGATATAATGTTTGCGAATACCCACCTTATAGACTATAGTTAGAGTTAACTAATAGCGTAAGATTACATAACCATGTTAGATTAGTGTGCTGACGTTGCTTATTGCAAAAATAAACTAAAGCCCGGTAACATTGCAATATATTCAACTTGTATCAATATCAAGCTTTTCAACGAGTAGACGACAAAGGAATTAACACGTGACGGAAACCGGGCCCGAAAAAAAGAACACGGACGTAGCAATGCGCGAGAACTCGAAACTCGCGTAAAGCTTTCGGAGCTAACTCCCTGCTCGGGCCACGAACTGTACGATTACGTCGCACGACCGATGGGGAGATGGGAGATGGGGGATGGGGGATGGAGAATGGTCGTAGCCAAATAGTATGTAATTGTGCCGCGCATTGTCTGGGTGGATGCGACGTGAGAAGAAAGATCGGCCAGATTCGCCGCGTCTATTCGATAACTCGGTACCACTCCCATACCATTGTCAGTCTCATTCATTTGGTCGATTCACGAGGCTTCTTGTTTACAGTCTGTCGCAAGTAGAATTGAGTGGTAAAACTAACCTCGATTTTTGCTAGTATTCCGAGCACGAAGTCAGAAGCTTCGTTTACTAAGTAATGGAGGCATTGAAATGCCATAAGGACGATGAAATACTTGCATTCCCTACACAGTAAACTTGACATATTCGTGCCAACCCTTGTTCCATTCGCCAATATTCTCGCTTCAGCTCGGGAGAGCCCTTTGTATGTATCATCTAAGGCCATGCCAAAATCCCGTCAAATAACACCGCGCTGCACCTGGATATCCCTAAACCAACAATATGCGCCACGGAGACGAGCCCTTCGTCTTCCATGTAAGATATCTCGCCCCGCCGTGCCCGAGATAAAACGTAATCCATCCGTCCAAAATCCCTATTCTCGGCCGTGCATTCGTGTCCTATCATACCTTAACACCCTAGCTAGCTATAAGCTATGAGCGATGTTGCCCGAGGCCGGGAGACCCTGGCATTGAGAGAGGTGTTGTCGGGTAGTCATAACCGGACTCTGAACAGTTCGCCGAGTGTTCGTACGAGTGTGAAAGCGGTGGAGTCTAGCAACACCGATCAGCTACGAGGTTCTCGGCGGGAGTAAGCGCGCACAGGACTCACATGAGGGTTGGAGTGGTCGTACGAATTTTGGCCGTGGACATCCATTCCTGGTACGAAACCGTAGTTCATATACGGAGACATGGTTTCTTCTGGATATGTCGCCTCCCTCTTGATAGCATCATTGAAGTGTGTCATAGGAGGAAGTGTGCAGGGAACATTCGTAGCTATGTAGCTGGGATAGCCTTCGCCGGTTGTAATTGGGTGATGGTAAGGCTGGGCCGAGTTGTACGGGGGTAGAACCATCTCGTCGGGAGGAGGATATGCCGAGTAGGGCATAAACGGTGGCGTGTGAGACCGCTCTCGGTCGTCATACGACTGGCTAAATATTATCTCGTCGTCGTGGTTCATCGGAGGTGTAAATTGAGGCTGTACGGTCTTGTGCGGAGCTGCGGAGGATTTCTGCACCTTAGAGGAACTCGTCTTCTTGGTATTCCGTGTGCTGCCGGACTGCGACTGCTTGTCACTCCCCGTAGGAGAAGATGCATCGTCCGAGGTACCGGCGCGCCTCTCGAGGTCTTCCAGACGTCTCTTGAGCTTCTTGCCTAGAGAAACTGTTAGGTTACTCGGTTATTGGTAAAAGGAGCAAAGCTGGTCGCAACCTACGGTAGTTGCGCTGGGCAATTCGGTTCTGTATCCTCCTGCGTTCGGCAAGGTCCGATATCTTGGTCCAATCCTCATCAGGGTTGGCTGAACTGGAGAAAGCACTGCTGGTCCCGTGTGCCGAGTACTGTCTCGGCGCCGGCGCGGGTGGATATGAGTATTGATGTTGCGACATGGCGTACATTGACATTGTTGAAAGTGTATCTATCAGTGGTCAACTTAATATTGCTATGGCGATATCGAGTAAACGATAGATATATAGTGAGGTGAGTCGGTTTAACGTCGACGGTAGTTCGATGTGATTACTTCAGAACTAAGTTGCTGTCGAACCGAGATGGTGGGACATATGAACCTTCTGAAGCGGGAGGAAGGAATCAAATATATAGAAGTAGCCCTTTCAGCCATGGTCCATGGAAGCCGCCTTCGAGATGGAGGATTGCAGCCCCCCATGCTTCTATGACAAGGCCTCAGTAACCTGAGTACCTGAGAGCTCAGATACATTTACATGTGTCTGTATACGTAGATACGTAGCTACGTACTTCCCATGAGCATGGGTCCAGCTTAGACAGGCATATGATTGCGAATGCACCTGATTGTGCGTCCGCCCTTTCAATACAACCTTGCCTGGAAGTTGGGGGGGTGTTGTAGTTTGCATCTGGGGCCAGTGCGAGGAGGGCAGAGCAGCGCCTCAATCTGAGGGAAGTAGCGGGCGCGATCCACGGGCTGGAGTACGGTAAAGACTCGCACGAGTGAACAAGGGTTCAGGTAAGGGGGGAGGGGTTTGGATAGGAAAGGGCTTGGGGTATGCACCTAGGTACCTAGTTTTATGAAATACCTATACCTAGAGAAATACCTCGGTACCTATATGATTATATATATAAAATGGAAGTAGTGACCGTACCTAGTAGTTGGCAACAACCCTACCTGCATGGTCGCAGGGATTTTGCGCAGCGCTCCTGGGCGTTACGATATGCATATACGCAGTATTTCCATGTAACTAAGTAAAAAGCATGGCGGAGTTCCCTAATTTTGCCCGAATTTTGCTGCCTACCTAGGGCAGAGCGCAGAAAAGTACCTAACACAAGTATCTCGCGTCCCGCGCGCTTGAGTAAAAGCAGCGATGACTTTTAATTCTCCACACCCACCGTAGCCCGCCGACTCATAGGGCTGGCTCTTTAAGATATCGGCGCTATTAGGCTATTCGCTATATTCAGCAATTGACGATGGATCTTACGAGCTAAACTAGCTGTTGTGGAGAAGACACTCCTTAAACCCTTAAACTTTTAGGGTTGAGCTCCGAAGTAATACGGCAATACGGCGGACACGGCCACCCCTATAGATTAAATCCAATGAATTAAAAATTCCAATACAGAAAGCAGAATGAAAGGCTACTTGCAAGGCTATTTTCTCTTATCACCTCTCAACTAAAGGGAAGCGGGAAGCGGGAAGCTAGCTAGCTTTTTTGGGGTGAGCTGGGCTCAACAGGGCAGGGCAGGGCAGGGCCGGGTCCTTTTTTCTGGATCATGTCGCAGCCCAGCACGTTTCGTTGCGTACCTTGACCACTCATAGGGGAGATTTGCATGGAATAAATCCTAAACCCGCCCTGCGCTCGACAGACATTACTACTTCAAGACCTTGCTACTTCAGTATTGGAATACATATGTGTCATCTAATAGCCGCAAGTCAATAGCGCTAGGCAATAATCCAAATTTAAAAGAAGAAAAAATTTACCCGACATCTTTGATAGATATACAGCGCGCAGGATTTCCGGTCAAATAAATGATAAGCGAAGGCATTGCCAGAGCACATGACCTAGAATCCATGCATAGAGACTCTGACACCACTACCATTACCTATTACTACACAAGTACCGCCATTTTTACTAAGGAACAAACTACAAGGGACCTCTAAGGCTGGGTACTTTAGTTTAAAAGCTGAGCGTCAGGACTGCCAGGTAAGCCGGCAGAAAAGATAGGCTAAACCCCGTAGTTATTGAATCGTGCACGCGGGAAAAGAAAAGTCCTAGATAGGGATACGAAGCAGCCGTAAAATTCTCCAACCAGGGAAACGCACTAAGGATATACAATCTAATCCAATGGCTAGTGATTTCAAAAGTACCAATGACACGTACATACAACGCCCAGCCCTTCGAGTCCTTCGAGAAGGATGCATAGAAGGGGGGCTTAGACAACACGGAAGCCTCCTCAGAAAGTCTCTCGTCTCTTCGGAATGACGCCAAGCGATTAGATCTGGGAATGCCAGAAGAAACATGCGTAAGACATCTTTACGTAAAGCGGTAAAGTAATACGCGGTAAAGGGGTTGGATTGTAGTCTTCTCTCCCTGCTGTCCGACTTGTCAACATGAAAAAGGTGGACAAGAAAAAAAAAGAAAAGAAAAAGAAATACCGCCATCTAATTCGTACGTGCTTTATAAAGCTTCTATTTTTAGCCCTGGCTCATTACAAAGCCTTTTCTCAACTTTCCATTGGTTACCAATTGCCGCCTCTTAGGGCTGCTGGTCAAACTTCTCGAAATGTTCTACTAACTATGTACATTACCAGGACTATTTAAAATAATTTCGCGTGTGTCTAGTCATTATTTAAAAGCAAGCTGATAAAAAAGGTAGGCCTGATATACCGTAACTTTATAGGAAAGAAGGATTCAGCCTTGATCCAGCAGTCAATTCGCCCCCCTTAAGAAACTAGGCCCTTTTATTTATTTATTAAAAGCTTCTACCGCTGTAGGATTTTTCGGTGGGCAGATCGCGTACCCCCCCCCCCCCCCCCCCCCCCCCCCCAACAAACCTCATGTTCACAAATCATTTAATCCGTTACCTAGACAGACCCGGTAAAGAGGTGAACATTCCGAAATAAAGGAGCCATCGTTTCTGTTTTGCCACGCACGGTGCTCTCTATGTACTTACCTATAACCGGGAAGAGACCGGATAGCCCGAAAGGGTGGTGAGCAACAATATGTAATGTTCATAGACAGGAGTCTTAACAGGTTTGATGTAATACCCCAGTAGTTGCATATCTTTAGAAAATATTCGACTTTTTTCTACAGTAGATATAAGAATAAGTCCACCAATGAAAATATCTTCTTCCTTTTGCTTTCTCAGCCTCATCCACCTAGAGTCCATGGATGATGCATGCATATACCACATAGCTTAGACAACCTTCTTTTTTCCTACCGGGTTTTAAAACGTCGCTAACCCTCGAATAAACATACACGAGACTACATTATACATATCTGGTTTGTCATTTACACTTATCCCTTGTGCCCATTACATAGAATCATTTAGCATAGAATCCGGCGAAGATCAAATAGGCCCGGTGCATTTCTGTACCCAGCCACAGCGCTGGCGTCAGCCAACGCTTAGACTTTGAAAGGTAGGTAGTAAACGTTTTATTCCGCTATCATATCACCACGAGGGCGAATTAATTTTTTTCATACGTCTAAAAATACACACGTATGTTTTCAATCCATGGCCGTCGATAAAGCTAGATGTACGTGTGACCGGTCTTTAGTCACCTACTTTTTTCTATTCTGAAAAATCTTGTGTTTTTTTTCTTTCGGTTCTTATACCAACATATATTACATATATCGGATGATATTGACTCGACGATAGGTTTTCTATAGATGCTACAATTCTAATTGTACCAACGGAGTCGAATCCGCAATAGCAGGGGGTTGTATGACTCGTAACCTCCGGGAGCTTCTCACTTGCTATTTCTCTCCCTAATGATGTTGGGTGCTGACGCGAGAAGCTTGGAGTTCCATAGAGCCGGCAAATTGCGTGGGTATTGCTTATCTTAGGTAGGTACCCTTCCTACAGACAGCGGCACAACATAAGCCACCCACTATCTCGGGCTCGTCAACGTGCGAAGGTGTTTTAAGGTTCTCACTTGCCAAGAATCATTTCTCTGCGGAGGTTCTTTACAGCGGCGACACGTACATGTACAATGTGCGTCCCGCATACATGTAATAGCACATGTAATAGCAACGTTGACAGGAGGACAAATCAGGGGCCGGCCTCAGGTCACAGCCGTTACCAAGGATCTCAAAGAAGAACGCCATGTGAGATCTAATCTAGACTACTTCCACCCGTTTTGGGACAGTCGAATTCTCCCGCAGATGTCGGTTACCTACCCTAATTTAGGGGGTATGGTTACCTTGTTAAGAAATGGTAGTTAAGCTACTGGAGTTCTAGATTTCGGCCGCGAGAGATAATTCTCGTCTAGATGGCGATCCTACCAATGTAGCTGAACTCTTTATCTCAATAGCCGAACAAAAACACACCCTTTAATATTCGGGATCGTAGTTACAGGCAGAGGAGTGCTTCATGCGACTGGCTGACGATCCTGGTATATACACATGAACACCGGCTGTCGTAGGATATGTGGCTTAACCGAATAAGGAAATACGTTAGACAGCCCTATGCGTCTACCTATGTATGTAACTTCGTGCTTCGCATGTAAAGTCCTAAGGGATCGATACTGCCAACTCGCGCGAATTAGACCATCCAAGCGCCCGAAATCTCCGGGAATAAGTTCATTCCCCCGCTTTAGAACCCACATTTTAGGATCGACACCACTCGTCTCCCCCAGAGTTGAGGAGTTGTTCATCAGTAAGGTGGCGGAATGCGAAATGAGCATCCATAGCGCGATAGGGGTCGTCCACGTTGATTACTGGGAAACGCCAATTGCAGCTGGTAAGTGCATAATAACTTATAAGCCCGGCACATATGATATATTAGCAATATATTAGCACGAAGGCCGTGGTCAAGCTTCACTATCTTTAATTCCTATTTTTGGTAGTTACATGGCGCGAAGAACCTCATTGGAGCAACCCGTTAAGACGGTCGAGACGGTCGAGACTCTAGCCTACGCTATTTCGAATTCTACCGAGGCGACATACGTTAGAGGTAGTTCTTTCGCAGATTATGAACGAAGTCCCGTTTGAGATGATCCCATGGTTGGAGAGTTGATAGGATCTCAACAAAACGGCCCCCATGTTCATTCCCTCCAAGGTACGTACGTAGTATATGTGCTGATGCACGCACGTTAGTGGCTTAGAGGACAAATCCTATGTAAAGCAGGCAGCACACATGCAATCCATGTCCCGTCGCGTGGCATGAAATTCAAGTATCACAGTGAGAGAATTAAAAGGCTCAGATATGCATGAACCCCTACCATCATAAAAGAATTCACAAATTAGATGGTGTATGGGATGAATTCCAAAACACCAAAGTCCTAGGACCATTGCAGCTATTTCGTTAGTGGACCGCAATTATACGGCGATGTTGGGTAATTAGGAATACGGACAGAACCCTGATTCTCGGCAAGCTAAGCTTGCTCC